AGTGCACGGTGAAAAAACCTCCTCTGGTTGGTCTTGCGCTGTCTTTGTTTTGGTTCTTTGGTTTGGTGTTTGGTTTGGTTGTTTTGTTGGCTTCTTTGGTTTTGTTTGACTGCAGGAAATCTTTAATCCCTTTAGTAGACCTTCGCATTCTCTGCGAGGACTGGCAGCAATGCCCGTGCAAAAACTACATGTGCAGAATTGGTTTTCCATACAGGCTGCATCACAGCGACCTGACTGTTTTTGAGAAGTTCCGGCGCTTGGGTCACTGCAGAGTGAAACGGTTGGCATTGAGTTTGACATGCTCAAGCTTCACCTTGTGGTGATTCAGTGAAGAAAGCAAGAGAGAGAAGAACCATTTGCACAGGCACGATGTCTTGGTGCATTTCGAGAAGACAAACGCACCTGGACAAAGAGTGGAGCAAAAACAGCTCGATTTTCGCAGGAGGCTCAAAGTACATCAACGAAATCTGCTTTCAAAGGTTCAAAGCAAATTTGACCGGTGTAAGATTGAAAGGTGACGAGTTCAATTCCTGAGAAAAACGTGCGAACTCAAAGTTGATGGACTATGGGTCCAACCAAGCAACTACATCCAGCAGACGTTGAAAGTCTATAAAGAACAGATTGGATTGGTCAAGCCTCAGCAACTGGCAAAAGATGACTCAATCCAGATGGAAGACAAATTAGAAGTCCTGCGTGAGCAAGAAGATCAGCCTGGAAACAGTGTCAAGAGAGGTCCAAGAATGTCAAATCCTGCAGTCATGTCGTTCAAGAAGTTGTTAGGAAACTTGAAGTTGCAAAAAAAACCACAGAAAGTCAACATCAGGAGGATTCCACGCCTTGAGCAGTTGTCAATTGTTCAGCATCAGCAGAACACAGAAAGAAGATCATTGGCTTGTCTTCATGTGAAGCAGAACTGCACGCAATAGTTACCTCAGTATCAGATGGAATCTACATTCGCGCAGTTCTTGAGTTTGCTCTTGGGACAAAGGTGGACCATTGCACGCCAGTTCGTGATGAAGAGAGGAGTTGTAAGGTCAGACATTTGGATGGACAGTTGCAATGGATTCAGAGCAGGAAAGACTTCAAGATGGTACAAGACCAACAGATAGCGCCATGGCAGACATCAACACAAAGCCGCTTGGAGGACAAAGAATCAGATGCTTGATGAACTTCATTGGTTGTTGGCGCAATGAAGATCAAAGCAAAGTTGGAGAGTGTGAGATAAAGGTGTTTGAAGGGAAAAACAGGAAAGGTCAACAAAATGGCCAAGATGCTTGTGAGAATGGCCGCGTTGGAGGGCTTGCAGCCAGTGGTTAAAAAAGCGTTCTTGAAAGGAGACAACATCCAGTGCAGTGAAGAAATCCAATGAAGAATGGAGATTCTTGGTTTTGCAGCAGTGATCTTTGTACTCTTCAAGATCTACAAACACCTTGAGACCCTACATGCCAAGGAAGTCCATACAAACCGCTTTGTGGCATGGTGGTTTGAGACTCTAGTCAAGAGGACGCAGAAGCGAATTGATGAAGTTGACGAAAGGCTTGCAATTCGGAGAGAAGAAGAACTTGAAAACAAGTTACGTAGAAACACTCCAAGACTATGTCAGGAAAATTTTACAGTGGGTTGATTTTGAATGGAGGCTTTGTGGGAAGAGAAACACCAACTACGCAAGTTATCCTCAGCTATAACATCTTGAGTGAGATTAACGCAGGAAACTTCTTAGCCAGAAGGAGTTTGGAAACTCTGCACGCTACAGAAGGATGGTATCCAGGATACAGAGTAATGCTAGAAGCACCCAATGAAGGAGCAAACCCATCAGAAGGACCACTGAGCAAAACATTCACAAGAGGAAATAGGGACGCACCAATGAGATCAGACTATAAAAAGATGCAGGCAATGCAGATGTGTGGTAGGCTCAATGCCAAACTTGAGGACATGAACGTGCAGCAATTTAACCTACTAGGGATAGGCGACCAAAATTTTGCAAATAGATGTGAGCGCAGATGTTGATCCATCAGAAGTACGCTTGAGGAGCCCAGTTCTTGGAAGAAATGAATAAGCCTGCAGAGAGAGAGAAAGAGACAAGAATTGAATGGAAAAACATTGACTATGGCGGCAGAGTCAGCTCAAAGAAACATCTTAGAGTTTCACAGTGCCAAGAAGGAGCGCGAACCATTTTCCATGCAGATCACAGTTTAGTTGTATAGCATTTCTAGCATCGCAGAATGCACTCGCAACCCTTTTGAGTATCGAAAGGTGCGTGCGATGAATCTAAACCCGCGTTTCAGGCAATCAAAGAAGAGTGTCCCGGCCGCAGAGCGTCTCAGAAGGGCCATCAACGGCCGAAATGTGGTCTACGCAGCTTGATTACACTGCCAGGATCCACAGAGCCTTGGTGTACCAGGGAGGTTTTGTGGAGGAGCGCCCAATCAAAGACTCGGAGTCGGACAGCCTACACTATCTAAAGAAGATCAACCGACGTCATGAAGGACTACATCTTCAGACGCAATGGAGCATCGTGAGTCAAAGGAGAAGGAGAGCAAGGAGATGCACGAATCCCAATTCGGTTTTCTTTGAATGACCCTGGAACACCCAAGGATGACCCTCGGGAAGTGATTATCCTGTGTTGAGTGGAGACACAGCCACTATCTTGCTGGACAGTGGTGAGAATGGAGGTGCCAGAAGAGTATGTGGAGATTACAAGAGAGGTGTTGGACACTCCAAGGCCAAGGGCAGCTATGCCCAGAACGAGCCAAACCCAGGAGATCATGATGAAGAGATGGAGAGCACCACAAGACCAGAAACTGGACAAGAACCAGATGGAGTATGGCAACCGGAGCCCATTGACAGAAAAAATCGGATTTTGGAACCGGCTCTACAATATATAGAGCTGATTTGAAGGCCCGGCAGGAACTTGCGAAAGTCGAGGCCACATGGTTCCAAGTAACAAGGTCAAATGACCAGGTGTTGGCCAATGAAATGTACAGGCACATGGAGGAGTGCATTTTGTACATGGATCCACGCCCAGACTCAGGCATATAGGAAACAAACTCAAGGCTTGAAGGAGAAGTGGCAAACATAGAGAGTGATACTCATGAAGTGCACACATGTCTGAAACATGACGCACACATGAAAAGTGTACATGAAACCGCAGACCGCTTTGACGGTCCAAAAGGTTCCCCAATATGAGATGTGTTGCGCAGGTGGTGAGCAAGGAACCATGTGCCCACCGTGGATTGACCAAGTTGTCGACAAACATGCACTTTCGTGAAACGTTTCCCCTTCTCGGTGCAGCAGCAATAACAAGTCGTTGCACGTGGAAAGCAATTGGTGATGCAGTTGACGATTTTGCAAAGATGGTGCATTGAATTGTTCGTGCAGATTGTTTGACACCTACTGCAGGCAACTATAGGCAAGTTGATGCCACGGATAATGGTGCTGTTTGGCAGTGTCAGTGCCCCATTCTTCCAAGTTGTGACCGCAACGTTTTTGGATGTCCAAATCAGCACGTTCAAAGTGATGCCTTGTTGGCTAAGCTGGTTCGCGAGCGTTGTTTTGCTAAGGGGTATACTTTCGCGACCCCAAGGTATTTTTTTTCTTCGACTTTTACTGTTTTTACCGCGGATATGGTAGAAGAAAAAGGAGCGCCCCCCCGGTAAAAACGGTAAAACATTTTTTTTTTTTTTTTACCGTTTTTTCCGCGGATATGGGGAAGAAAAAAACCCCCCCCCCCCCGGCAAAACGGCAAACATAATTGTTCGATTTTTACCGTTTTTACCACGGATATGAAATTTAAACATGGAGCGCCCCCAGTAAAAAAGATTAAACACAAAAACCATGATTTTTACCGTTTTTACCACGGAGATGGTAGAAAAGAAAAGGACAAGTCCACCTACAAAAACGGAAAATATCACAACTTCTATTTTTAACGATATGGTAGAAGCAACAAGAGCAAGCGACTCTTCATTAAAAAAAGGTAAACAACAAAAGTAGTAATTTTCACTTTGGACCGTTTTTACCGCGACAATGCCTCGGGACCAGGTCGCAAGCTAGAAGACCTCTGTCAAAAAAAAGGTCTAATGTTACAGCCCGGGTATCTTCCTATAATAAGGCGGGGTTCATTCCTCCTATCATATAGGAGCGTGTGCCCTTTTCGACAAGAGGAGTTTGGTGATTGATCAAAATTTCATGACTTTTAACTTTTGCAGGGCAATGAACGCCTACATCACTTGGATCGAAAACTTTCGATTTTCACCTGCCGCGGATATGGCAGAAGAAACAGCGGTGACCCTCCGTTAAAAACTGAAAAAAGAACATAGACCCGTTTGCCCTCCTCGATCAAAACGGTACAAAAAGAACAAACATTGTTTTTACCGTTTTGATCGCGGATATGGTATTGAAAAAGGAAGCGCCCCCCGGTAAAAACGGTTAAACAGAATCGATTTTTGCCGTTTTTGCCGCGTATATATGGTAAAAGAAAAAGGGCCGTACCCCCCTGTGAAAACGGAAAAGCAAAACGGTATTTACCGTTTTTACCGCGAATATGGTAGAAAGAAAAAGGGACGCCTAGAACAAAAGGAGCGCCCCCCGGTAAAAACGGTAAACAAATAACATTTTCGATTTTTACCGTTTTTACCGCAGATATGCTGAAAAAAGGGGTGCCCCTCCGGTAAACACGGTAAACAACAGAAAATTTTCGATGTTTACCGTTTTTACCGCGGATATGGTAGACGAAAAAGGGGTGCCCCCCCGGGGAAAACGGTATATATATATATATATTTTTTTTTTCGGTTTTTACCGCGCAGATTCAGATGCCTCGGAGTAACCCCGTAACCCCGGCAACTACGCTAAACCAGCACAGTACTTGTTGGTGTTGCCTTTCCGTTGCCATTTTGGTGCGGCTGTTTCACTTTTGCCAATTCAAGGACTGTGTGTTGTGGCCAAATCTTGGACAAATTAAGCATTTGGAAGAGTTGTTTTTCTTGATGCTAGGTAGTTCAAGTCACTGCGGTTCAGAAGTGTTCTTGGTTTGTTCATTTGACAGCTTCTCTTGTGCCATTAGCGCTTTTGGAACCATGTCGAATCCAGGCACTGAGTGTTTTTTTACTCTGCCGTTGAACACAACTTGTGTTGCATTGGGCAATCGCTCTTTACACATATAAATATATATATACAAATTATTGTTTGCTCTTGCTATCTGCAGGCAATTTGGTTGGAGATCGAGAGCAGCGCGTGACAGTCTCGTTGCCGTTGACAACTTGGTTTGCTAGTGCTACCTTCATGCCCTTGTTCTTTGAAACAAACCTGGCCAAGGCGAACTCTGCACGAACTCAAAAGTCATGCGCACCGCAACTTCACCACAAAGCGTGGATCCAGCAAGCCAATGCGAATGTGCGCCCAACTTTGCCAACAATTTTCGCGATGTTGTATCAAGGGTGGTTCACACTATATAGAGGGTGGCTATGGGTGTCTCAACTTTTTGATTCGCACCTGCGCAGGTTTCATCACGGCAAGGTGGTCATTACTCACCCCAACCACATGTCCAATCTCAAGGTACGGTGTTTTTTGTGCCTTTGCTTGTGTATACGGCTGGAATAGGTCACAGGCTGTTGACAAACCATTTTTCACAGAACTTATGCGGGAAGAGACTTTTGCCGTCAGATGCTCGAGTTTATTACCAAACCAAACAAACACACATGGATTCTTTGCGCTATCATTTTTTGTACCTACTTGTTTTGCACGCTCTCAGTGAGTGAAACAACAAGAAACCAGCGGCAGCTCGCACTCTTCAGGATGGAGATGTTGTAGTCTTGACTGCCAACCCGGAGGAGCAGGTGTTAATGGGGTTTGAAGATTGTTGTCGTATGGCATGGGAAGCGGTTGTTTGAGTGGTGTGGCCATTGGATGTCGGAGATTAACTCATTTGCAGGGCCCGCCGCCTTTGTCTACACACCAAGCGCATTATGTGCCTCACCCGCTGCAGGCACTGGGGGTTGCAGACGCATTAAATGACTTGCTGGTGTTGATAACTTACGAAGGAGTTTCTCCTTCTTTCCATATCACGTTTTGTTGCTTATTATGCATATTCAGCGGAGGCAAAGAAGCCACCACCAGATCAGGATGGGCCCAAAGAAAGTGTTCCGTTGCGGCCTCAGGTATTTTTCACGGAAACATGGGCAAATTGTGGCCGTTTAAAATGCTTCCAGCATCAGTGTGAGGTTTGATGGAAAGTCGAGCTACACTGTGGACTACATCCCTCATCCACTTGAGGCATTTTGCGAATCACACCCAATGCTTGGATGTGAAAAAACAGTACCCTGGAGCATCCTGAAACTCGCAGAGCAAAACTACTACCCTTCGACCTTGAATGGCACATCCTTGTCCATGTGTCTCACAGATTTGAGTGATTTGAGGTACTGCAGCTACTTTAGGAGAGCAAGTCGAAACGCACTAAGTCCGGGATTCCTTGTCCTGTGCGTCAGGCCCGGGACTCTGCAAAGCCGCCCAGAAATGTTTGGGAACCTGGCAGGAGCCGAAGTTGTGTTGTGCGGCTTTGCAAAAAGCTTTGCAAAAGCCCTTCAAGAACCATCTTGGATGATGACGAGCTGGCAAGTGCACAAAGCACTGAAGTCTCACTGCAGAACATTGACAATTGAGGGTACTGGTGCAGATGGTTTAACGCTGGTTCTGAGCTATGCCAGGAGAAGAAAGGAACGTCCCGCATTGTAGTAGACCACTTTTTCTCTGGCCCGAAATCACACTGGCGATGGACATTTGAAGCATACTTGCTTTATCAGATTCTGTGTTTTCAACGACCACAGCGAGCATACCTTGGACTGGCAAAATTGTGTTTGATTGTGTGCCAATGAACACCCTGAGTAAAGTTTGATGGTCTGAGGTTATTCTTGCAAAATTGCACTGACTTGACAGCTTTGAAGAGGAAAGTTGCAAGCAAACTAGTCTGTTTGGCGCACCTTCAGAATTACTGTATGTAAGACTTTGACGATACTAGCATTGACAGAGTCTTAGTCTTGGACTAGGGCTCGTTGGGTCACTAGACTCAGACCACACCATGATCAAAGAAAGGAAGGACATGACAGCGAAACTGTCTTGAAATGTATGAGGGTTGACAAAGGAACAAGCAGGGACCAGTGAGGGGTGGCATCATGCAACAAGACGAAGTTGTGGGATGAACCAATTGGTAGCAAGTTGAGAGGGTCACAGTATTATATATGTTTGTAAATTTCTGACACAGTGGTTCATTGTTTTGCAAGCAGGGGGGGTTGATCAATCTGGGATCATCTTAGTGCGCACTTGATGTTCCTCAGCTCCAGGACTGGGGTCAAAACTGGAAGAAGCACTTATGCCAGCGAATATCCATGGCACGGCGGCCAATCTTGATCTTCCACATTTCTTTGCGGAACTTGAACATGCGGCGTACTGTTTCATCCAATCTTAGAAGTGCAATCGATGATGTCCATTGAATTTATGAGGTGAAAGTGAAAACTCAAAGTGCCATACTGAGGCACAATGTGAAGCCTCCAGATAAGACTTGCAAGCACGCAGCAGCCCTTTTTCTTCCACACTGTAGTGGAATCCCAATCTTAGTAAATGCATAGCACAGCAAGGCACCTTGCCTGCATTGCTTTAAAGTATAAGGTGCCTCCAGGAAAGGCAGTACCGCAAGGGCCTCAGACATTACGTAAGCATTGTGAGCGCGTACTTGAGAAAGCTCCAGTGAGCAAAATGTGCTTTGATGAGACATTTTACTTCATTTTCAACAATTGCTTTATGAACAGTGAGCTGGTTGTGCTGAAGGTGATGGTCACTGGATATCGGTTTGCATTTGGTCCTGCAGGTTCGAGGGTCTTTCCTCCTATCAGCAGGACTATGTGAAGCACCCACAGCGGCCAAGGCCAATGACATGGCAAGTTAATGTCTATATGATTACATGCCTCTTTCTCGCTGGACATTCATGGACAAGTTCTTCTAGGGTCGCTTCCAGCAAAGGACACATGATTTTCCTGACCCGAACCTGATGTTGTACAGTAATGTTGTGGTGGGAGGTCCGTCTAGTTTCTTCAACGTACAATTGTGCATAAGATCTTGGGACTGATTCCAACTACATACCTTCACGGTGGAAAAATCAACTTAGGCTTCAGGAATCAAATGTTGATGCAAGCTTGCCTCCCAAAGCGGCCTCCAATCTAATAGCGATGGCCTCCAGCCTGGTAGCGATAGGCTCCCGGAGAGTGGACACCTGCGCGTTACATCCTTGTCCATTGTTGCAAAACTCTGTTTTTTCAACATGTCAAGAGGTTCAGTTACTAATCAATTATGTTGTTCATTAGTACTTTCGTTCTGGACATCTCGGTCGTCTTGCCCTAACTTAGGATAAGTAGTTTCCATGTCTCCTGCTAACAGTCGAAGATTCATGGAAGAGCTTGATACAGATTGAACCGCTTTCTTACATATGCTGCATAAAAGCAGCAACCAATGCGGAGTCTGTTGTAGATCATGGGGGTCACGTTGGGTCACGCTTGCCCCACACCCTCAACCCAAAAAGTCAAGTCTCGCCTCGTAAATCGGATCAGCAGTAGCTCCTGGCCTTACTACTAGCAACAAGAAGCTACTAGGAACAAAGGGCATCGCTACTAGGAGCAAGAAGCTATATACTAGTAGCCCCTTCTTGCTACACAAACAGTCGACTGCCTTTTCTCAACACTCTGCCTGACGTTACCTCTGCGCAGGTCCGCTGCAGGGCGCCCCAAGCCACAGCTGCCAGCCTCAGGGCCGTTTGAGGCCGGTGCTGCGCCATGCCAACTGCTGCCAACTGAATGATGTGTAGGACTGTTGTTGACTCGTTTTCCCACTCTACCAACACATGGACCTGTGCCACGTGGGTGGAAGCACATTGGACAAATGATGCTCTCTTTCAGCTACCTGGCTGGTTTCTGGATTTTGTGTTTGCCAGGGATCAACGACCTACACTACAGATTACAAGAGGTTCCAAGTGCCACCAGCGAGGTGGGCATTGGGAAGTACTTGCTCAGGATTGTGCAACTGGCAAGTTGAGACAAATTGGGGTACAACTGAACCGAATCAGTTATAACATTGTGTGTATGATGCAGCGACATGCCCCCAACCCCAAGGCCAGTCAGGATGGATGGTGGCAACATGAGCGAGCCCAAACCATTCGAAGGCACAGTGCGACCAAACATGCACTGGGAGAGCGCCAGAGAGTGAACACTAACGCAGGAATGTCAAAAACTATCCAACAGAAACACCTGTGATTTATATACATGGTGGAACGATACATTCATGGGCAGGCTCATCAGAGTACCGCCGCGAATACTTGAAGCATCCATTGAATGGAAGGGCAGCCCAGTTTGGAGAGAAGTCTTCAGTCTATTTCGAACTTCTTTTGAGGCTGCTGAACTATTCGTGACAAAACATCTGAGGTCCAGAGATCTTGCACTTGGAGCCGGAGCTTCACAATCCACATGTACGGAGGCTGTTAGCGGTGAGCGCTGTTAGAGCCTCCAGACGCACAGCGTACTCCAAGCTAAAGCCCGTGAGCGTGAGTAGAGCACTGTTGTGGAGAAGTGTTTGCAGCTGATTTGGATGAACAGGCACACCAACAAATTGCAACTAATCAAACTTCAGGCTTTGTCAGCATGGCAATACGAACGCAGAAAAATTATCCTTTGGCGTTGCCAGGGCAAATTGGAACGTGTGGAGCTAAGTGGTGTGCCAGGCTGCAAGAGTTGGAAAAGTTTTTTTTGGATGAGTCACAAACACATAAACAAACACTTTTGAATCAAGTGCATTCACTGGCAGCTTCGACCTAGAAAATTGGAGTTTATCGGACCATTTCTGGAGAATCTAGAGCATGCCCAACGCCGATCCGCTGAGGTGACATGAAGAGAATGAAGGAACCTAAGTTTCTAACAGCCGACAAGTGTCGGCCTGGCCACTTGGGCAGCTGTGGTAATGTCAGAACATTGGAACAAATCAAATCCTGTCGTGTGATGCAGCTTGGACTTGGCCGAGCCAACCCAGAGTCAAAGTACCTGCGAAGTCTGGTTGTAGCCAAGAACCGGCGGAGCTTGAGCAGCTTGTCTTCTCACCGTGTCACCCCCAAGCGCAAGGGAAACTCTTTGTTTGCGGATCGACGTCGAGGCTAGTTTTGATTGCAATGGTCCCTGGTCCCCATTCATTCGGTCCGCAAAGATATTTCTATATAATGGACATTGTCAAGAGGCGGTGCTTGCGGTTGCTGAGTTGCCAGTAGACGAGACGTCAATTGTTTACAGAAAAGACCTGATGTTGAGTATCTCAACTCTAAAACTACAGGCAGCACCGCAACAGACGTAAAGCTAAAGGCTGGACGTCAGTTTCAGCACTGGGTGACCACTGCACCTGGTGACCAACTTGGTTGGGTAACCTGGATAATTGGGTGCATTCTTGTACGACTGATTATCACAATTTTACTGATTGTCAAAGATGTGTCCCAGCTGAGATCTGAATGCTTCTCTTCGGAGCAAAAAATCTGCAAGTTCTTCAAGATTAGAGCTCAATCAAGAGCTTGGACATTCGATCAACATATTTATTGGTTCTGCTTTGAGCTGCGAGGGTAGATTCCTTTGCCCGAAGCCAGTGTGCTCTTTTGGCATGAGCCCTCAGCAAAAGCACAGCATATCAAAGCATCATTTTATCGTTGTTTGGCCCAAGTCTGGGTTGCCAAGTCACCACGGTGCAACAACAAACACAGATAATGATCAGCGTCCTTGCAATGGTAGGCTTGCCGCCAGACGCATAGCAGAAGCACCCAGTGAGACTGTTTGAGAGCTCTCTTTGTTGCTTTTGCATCCAAGACCTTGGCAATGAAACCTTCGAACCTTGCAGATGCCTTCTCTAGTCAAGGCATGTCTGAGGAGGATTGGTTCGGACCACATGCCTGAATCTCAGTCGAGAGATTCTGCGAGGGCAATATGTACTTAAAAGCGGTATGGTCTTGCTGGATGCCACTCAGAAGTCACTCACTGCTTTGATGACATTAGTGCGAGTGCTTCTTCAAGGAAGCTCCCCCGAGCCATCTGGGTTCAAGCCCTTTGGCTTACGCCCTCTTCGGCGTGGGCCGGGGTGTTGCTGTCTGGTGCCAACCAGAGGTGACACGTCCAAAGACTCAGACTTCACCAAGCCTGAGAACGCCATGGAGAAGATGGTACCAGTCCAAGACCGAGGGGAGCTTGCCGTTGAGAGTTTGCTGCAGTGGGCTACTTTGGGCATGCCCTCTGCCTTGGCCACGACTGTCTGCTCGGCCTTGAGGAGTATTGCTACCACAGGATCGTGTAGAAACAATGAAGATGATTGGGTGTTGTTTGGAGAAGTGTGTGACGTCCACTATGAACCGACCATGAGGGTTCGGCTTCGACGCACTTCTTTGCTCTTGGGTGATGAGGTGCCTCAATCAGGGAAGTGGGAGACCTTCGACATTGTGTGCTCGGTCACCCATCCCAGAGTTGATTTCTCGCCGGGCATGTTGGTGGGCATTTTGGCTCCTCCGGCCAACCGCCTCAGTGCACATTGTATTATGGCTGACGCTGCCGTTCCCGTCTGGAACGTCTCCAGGCTTGACCGAAGCTTAGCGTGGCAGGTATCACACCTTTTTTCTGGTGCCTATGAAGGGTGGCTGCGAGCGATGTGGTGGCTTCAAAACGCCAATTTAGGATTCGTGTTCGCCACTCACACTTCGGTTGACTGGTCTGATGAGGTGATGAAGACCTGGAGCTACAACCACCAGCAGGAAGCTCTCCGTGCTCCAGTGCCAGTCGACTATAACCCAGTGTCGACCTACAATGGCATCCAAGCTGATGTCAGTGATGTGACGTTGTTGAGGGCGACAGCGCATAAATCCAATTTGGTGATGACATTGTCTCCACCTTGTCCGAGTTGGAGCCGAGGTGGCAAACAATCTGGACTTGCTACGGACGAGGGCTTCTGCTTTTTGGATGCTGTGGAACACCTGTGCCGAGTTCGTCCGATCCTGGCCATTTTTGAGTGCTCTGATGGGCTGGAAAGCCACCCGCACTGGCGGGTTATCTCAGCTGCCATGCAGTTGGCTGGGTTTCTACGTATTTGGTCGCAGGATGTTGCTCTCCACCAGATCACTGGCAATCACCGGACAAGATGGCTTGCTGTGTGGTGTCGACGTGATGTTGATGCTCAGAAGATTGGTGAGCGCATCCAAGTCTCCTCTCACCACAGGGTCGCTTGGGATGACCCTATGCATCGTTTTGACCTGCCTTTCTCGCTGGTTGAGAACCTTAGGCTGACTGATGACCAGTTGAATGTTTATGGGGACCGCAACTTCCTCCCCCCCTGGAAAGAAAGTCAGAACTGTTGATGGTGCCTCCACCCACCAGGTTTTGATGCAGAGGATACTCTCACCAGGTGAGTACCTGCCCACCTTGTGTGCTTCGTACACAGCGCAACACCTGTTGCAGCATGAGCATGTCCAAGCTAAAGGCATCTTTGCCACTGTTACTAGATGGCAGGATGAGTTTCGTTTTATCGACCCCTCTTTGTTTGCCTCCTTGTTTGGCACAACAGCTACGCTTGCCTTGCCTGTTGACCTTCGGATTGCATTTCACCAATTGGGGAACGCCATTTCTCAACTACATGCTTTGGTTGGTATCCTGGTTGCTATGGAAGGAGTCTCTGGAGAGGTTATTCCTAAGCTGGCTCTGATTCAACAATGCTGGAACGACCGGCTCACGAGAGAGAATGCCATTGTGCGATGCTGCAAGGGGATGTTTGTTCTACAGCCAATTGCAGACCTCGCTGCGAAGGCTATTCCTAGCATTGCTACTTGGCAGCCTTGGCTAGCTGGTGGTACTTTGATCAGGTTCTGTGATGACATGACGCTTATCCCGGTTGACCAACCAGCTGATGAAGCTATTGGTCTTGCCCTGCCTAGAGCGCTGGAACTTGACTGCCATCTTGTTGACCTGATCAAGCTCGTCCATGATGGTTCGGAGGTTCCTTCGGTTTGTCCTGGGCCACAGCTACCCGCTGGCACTATGCTGTAGAAGTTTGGGGCCCTTCAGCTTGGGTCGCTGCAGGTGATGCATCTTAATGACAGCCCGGTTGAGCGCGATCCGATTATGTCGCCTACCCAACCCTGGTGTGAGCATGAGCATGATCCCGACTTTGATTGCATTGTTGATGCTGCTAATGCCGGGTTTTTTCATGTTGCCGAATATGTTTGCCAGGACGACATGCCCCACTCGGTTGCAAAGACTTTGCTACTGCAACAAGACGGTTCCTTTTATTGGATTCAGCAAGCGAATGTTGATCGACTCGGGAGCATCCCTGGGTTTCGATGTCATGAGGCTCCGATCTACTTCATCAAAGCCAATTCTGAGGCTTGCAGAAATCTTATTGGCTTTCCCGTTGTGATGGCCATCCAAGGGGTCTATGATCCTGTAGGTGCTGTCAAGTGGGTGATCTTGGGTGGTGGCTCTCAAACCAAATGGTTGAAAATCTGCCAGGTGCCGCGTACTGCATCTCCTCAGCAATGTGCGGCTCTTTTGCAGCAGCGATGCAACATCACTGTCAGAAATTCAGTGCCATGTATGCCTGATCAGCCGCTTATGCTCATCAACGGTGACGTTTTGTGGGCTGCTGAGCCTCCAAGTGATGCTGTTTCAGTTGTCCTCGGTGGTATGGATCACCTCACGACCAATCCGAGCTGCAACATTCGTGAGGACATGGTTATGGCAAGACTTCTTCAGTTGAATCTGGAGCCTGGAGCCCTGGCCATAGATGAGATGCTCTTCCATTGTGACATTTTGCAGATATTGATGCCGACGATTTGCTGGTGTCCACCTGCCCTGTGGGTGAGCAATGAAGCTCAGTTTCGTTTCCCTGTTGAACCGGCGGACCTTCAACTTTGCTTGCAGCATTTCATGGTCCCAATCCTTGTGGTATTCGATTGGATCTTCGTTGAAGTTCGGTTCTTTGAGGGACACTGGAGAGTTCTGTACCACTCGGCTGAACAATTGACCTTGCGGCAGCGTACTGCTGTGCTTGAGCTGATTAATGTCATGGGTATACAAGTTCCACCCAACAACTTCCGGTGGATTCGTACTGCTGAAGATTCCGAGCTTGCCCCATGGTATACACTCAGGACTTTCTATGCCCGCGCAGGAGCGCCTTTGCTCCCTGCCACACACCGAACTACTCAGAGGTTGCAAAGGGCCCAATACAGTGAGCATGTCATGCAGGCCATTGACCAAGCTGATTTCATCTGGCGTGACACCCAGACGGATGACCGTATGCTGCAATTTGCTCGTGCCAGTCGCAATGCCTTCTTGGTTGCCATCACCGAATCTCCCAGCAGAGCTGCTGACTTGATTCTTAGAGCGACTGGAAGACCTGCACATGTATACAACATCAATGAGATTTTCTTTGTTGCTGATGAATGGCTGGACATGCGAGCCAATATCTATCGCACCCACCCGGGATGGGCAACCAATGATGAGATTGAGCTCCTCCTGTCCTTCTTCATGCCGGAGTCTTTTTGCCCTCCGGTGTTGCATCATGATTTGTCTGTCATTGCTGCTGGAGTCAAACCAATGAGTGATGAGGTACAACGATTCGTCGCTCTACGCCAAGGGCATTGGATTGGAATTGAAGTTGTCTGCAACGCGAGGGAACACACTTGCAGAGTTGTTTTCTTGCAGGTCCCTGCTCATGACCAACAATTCTGGACAGACTTTGCCCATGACTATGTTGTCCCTTTTGGGTTTCGACCCATTATCATTGTTGACACCACCAGGACGAGGCCAGGCATGTGCGGATGGGAGCTCCTCCATCGATGGGTCGTTGTCGACCTCACATTGCCTGCTGACTTTCATGTACCGCAGCAAAAGAGACAAGTCATTGATCAAATCCTTGGTGAATCAGAAATTGCTTGGAGAGCCGCCGGCGCGCCACCTTTGCTGTGGTCCTTTGCTGCGAATGTTCGACGCATCTTCCTACTTGTCGGAGGGCTACAGGTGCTCCAGACTTGTTCTGCTATTTCTCTGGGTGGTATGGAAGATCTGGCTCAAACGGATGCTGCTATGCAAGCGGCCGATCCTTGGCAGTTTGATGACCCATGGAAGGCTAAGAAGAAACAGGCCAAGCAGAGCAAATGGGAAGACCTTGAATTGCAGGCTGACCATCCGTTCGTTGCTAAAGACAAGACTTCGGTGCCCTTTGTGCAGAAACAACAACTGTCC